CAAGACTTCTAAGCATATTTCCCAAGAAAATGAATTCTAGGACTCCATTCCGAACCAACAGGATTTACTCCTGAACTATAAATATGATGCGGGGGGGGGGGGGGTGGCATGAGATCATGCGTGTGTCCGTGCGCGCACACCATGCTTCCGACCGCACCTGCTTAATTCACCAGGGCTTTGCAGTGCTACTGATAGTGCGATCCCGCACGCAGCCCTTTGGATCAAAGTCCCATCGAGTTCAACGGGTCCAGGTCTTGAGAAACCGGGTGTCGAACTGAAGCATTCGCCTACCCCTCTGGAAAGGGGGCACCTTCCTATTTGCCACCTGCCGTGGGTCTCTGTGCCTACGGGACCTATTTTCTTCCAGGAGGGCGTGATAAAGGACCCCAGATACGGGTGCAACTGAGGGCTACGCTTAGCCTCGCTTCCCGCGACCCCATGGGATGAAGGAAAGGTGTCTCCATCTCACTCAGGCTTGGGAATGTAAAAACAAACAGCGCAGCATCGCTCACTCGCTCGCTCGCAGCCCAGGTGTGCAGGCACAACCTGTCTCATCAAAGACCATATTTGCATTTTATTACCTTAGGCCGCCTGTCATCTCTGAACTATTTGGGGAATTCTGCCTTCCACGCCACCCGCCCTCTCCTCCTCCTCCTCCGCCCCTGCCCCCACTCTGGAAGGAAAATGCTGCGTTGGAAACCCAGACGAAACCCGCGTCGTTCGCAGACCCCGTGGTCTTTTGCCCGCCCCTCTTTCTTTTCACACGCATTTCTTGCCCTGACATCGCTCTGGTCACAATCCTGAGCAAGCTTACACAGGCAAAGGGCCTCCATCTCCCAGCATCCCCAGCCATCGCTGCTGGGTCCTCCTTCAGGATTGCTCTTTCAATCTCCGTTTAAAGCAGGACCTGGAGAGCAGATGGTTTTGGTTCCTTTGCTTCTGGCCAATTTCTGTCCCGCCTTTCCTCCTTCCTGTGGGTAGGAACCCAAGGCAGGTAGCATAAGTTCTTCCCGAGTTGCTTTCCCCACAACAACCCTGCATGGTAGGCTAGAGTGTGCACGACTGGTCCAAAGTAATCCCATGAGCCGGCCCAAAGGGATCCGGACCTGAGCCTCCCAGTTCCCAGCCGCAACCATTAGACTGTACTGGGTTTGTTTTAAGTGTGTGTGTGTTTGTGCAGATGAAACTAAGTTTATGCAGTTAAGAATATCAATTTCGTATTTTTATCATTTTCCATTAAAAGGGACTTCTGGGCGCGCGCGCGCGCGGGGGGGGGAATTGCATCAGATCCTTGTGCAACTGAAAACATTGCCTAGAAAAGACCCTCTTCTCTCCCCTTTGCTCCGTTTCCCACGTTTGCTGGGATCCAGCTGGGGCATTCCCCGAAGCCCCCGCCCCCGAAGGGCCTGAAGTTCGTCCGCACTTCTTTTACGTCCTGTTTGATTCCAGCAAGCCAACTCTACCCCGGGATCCTCTGGATACGACCCTATTCCTTGTACTTCTGGGGGGGAGAAGCGGGGAAAGGAGGAAACCGAATGAGATCCGGATTTCTTGATTCTTTGCACCAGTAACGAATCCGTTTCTCCCGAACTGCCTTCCAGCCACGCCGCAAACGGAATCTGCCAGCCCTTTTCTTGACTTTCGTAGCTACCGTGGGAGCAATAAAAAGGGGTGTTAACTGGAGGCTCCTTAACGCGTTTGGGGACGTCCAAACACACGCGCCCGGTTCCAAGCGAAGCGCGGCGCAGCGTCTGCACGTACCCGATCTGTCTTCCCACGACCTCCTCTACCCCGATAGACCCGCAACTTCGTTCCGCTCATCGGCCAGTGATGCATAAAGGTCTTAAGACCCTTGTTATAAAGGGTCACATCCTTCCGTGTTCCGTTTCTAGGTCGAATTAGTTCCAGGGGACCATTTTCGCTCCCCCGTCCCCGCCAGGTTTAGGATCTGTTGACGAATCCCGTGACGACCTTTTGGACACAGGGGCAAACGGTGTAACGTGTGCGCACCCGCTCGAATGGAAACTTAGGACGAAATGTCATTTTTTTCCTTGTTTTTAAAGATGCTAAGGGAGAAACCGTGTGTAGGGCTTAAAATTAACCCCGAAACCCCTAAAATTAAAACGAAAATGCCATCGATTTCCCCCCTATTTCACTCCTGGACATTTGCGATGGTCGTCCCTAAGACGCAAGTATGTATTTTCTACATTGTCCTGTGTATCTCTGTTCTAGGAGCAGTAATCGGTTTAGGAAACTATATTTTTCATGCAACTGTGTAAATAGATTACGCACGAGAATCGTCTTCACCGACACAGCGCGGAAATACGGTAAACGACACGAGTCAGTTCGTTCTTCACGGTTGAATTGCGGTTTGTTGTTGGTTTTTTTTTTTTTTTTTTTGGTTTGCATGAAGAGTGCTCTTGAGGCTTAAAAAAAGGAAAAAGCGAGAAACAGGCTTTTGAAAGCACGTGTGCCCGATGCTTACACCCGTCTGAGAGTGGGATGCGGGTGCGCCTCCTTGTTGAGGGCAAATCCGGGTTTTGTGGCCGTGTAACGTGTGACTCGGGCCCTAAGACCTGCTCCTCCAGGCGTGCCTATAGGCAGCCTCAGAGCTTGAGGCCTCTTGCGCGTGCAAATGCGAGAAGGCAGGCAGGCTGTCTGGACAGAGGCCTTGATATACACAGAGTGCCGCGCCTGATGATGATATAGATGATAAAGCTATCCTGGACTGTACCACTTCGGCGGTCTGGGAGGGCGGTTACCGTTTCGACCTTCCCAGGACGGCGCTTCCAACCCGGGCGCTCTTCTTCCGTGACCCCTGCGAGCACCCATTCGGACGCACAGACCCGCAAGCAGCCCTCTCCCCGCCCCCGGGCAGCCTGAAGTGGTCCGGCCCAGGAAGGCCTCTACCAGGTGGGTGCGCGGGCCCGATCTGCCTCTGCCGGGAGCCTTCCGTCGGCGCGGAGCCCGCGGCCGGCGCCCGGCGCCCCCG